ACCAACATTTCGTAATTTGCTAAAACTATACGAAAAAGCAGGAGCCATGAAAAAAAGAAGGACGTTGGAACCACCAATGGCTCTTTTCTAAGATTTTCTTTCCTTTTCTATTCGAGGGTAGTGGGAGTCTTTCTTAATACACACACATAACTGGTACGCTTTGATTGGCTTAAAATTATTCCTAACACATCCTAACTACAATACGCATACATAAACGCAGAATAACGCAACGCATATAGATACATAATTCACGCTGAAATGAGAAATTCTCAACTTCTTTATATACTAAACTAGCAACTTTGTCGTCCGCAAGCGGCCGATTACGTTGCTAGTGTGAATTAACCATATTTTTTATTCATTTTTTTTTCAAAAAAATTTAATATTAGAAATGTAAAAAAAATTTCTTTATATTGGATCTACCACCCAAGTAGCAAGGAATATTGCTCGAATGTCAAGCTGATATCAAGCGGCAATATTTTTGTGACATTCAGGCGATATCATAATGTCCTCTTCACGGGGACATTCCTCGGTGATGTATCTATGTGACGGTCTTTCACACAAAAAATGTAACGCATTACAAAACTTACATTCTACATTTATTAAACCTAAATAATTCTGTGGAACTTTACTTTCATTGAAATCTTTAAAAGACATTATTGCAACTCCTGCAGTTTTTTTATTTCAATTATCGTTTTTACATGCCAAATTCTTTTCTTGACGCACTTTCTTTTCATCTTCCGTTTCCGTAGAAAATTTTTTCTTCTTACATGACAAATTATTTTTTTGACGCACTTTCTTTTCATCTTGAGTTTCCATTGATATTTTGCTTTTCCTTCATGCCAAATTTTTATCCTTGCGTATTTTCTTTTCATCTTCAGTTTTTATAGATAATTTCTTTTTTTTTGCATGTCAAATTTTTTTTTGCGCTCTTTCTTTTTTATAGCTGTTTTATTACGATTACGTTTTCTCAATCTCTCATTCTCCTGTCTTATTATTTTCTACTCATATGTAACTTCGCGCCTTGCCTCCCTTTTTCTTCCCTTCTCTTTAATTGCTCGAATTATCTTTTTATCATTTTCTTTACTCAGAAAATTCTTCATTTTTAAATATTCATGTGGTGAAATTTTGTTCACATTATTATCAGTTGTACGAATTATTTTCTTTTCACTAGTGTCATTTAGAGAATGTTTAATTTTTAAATATTGTGTTAATAGAACTCTGTTAATATTATTACTGTGCAAAGTATTAAAAACAGAACAAGAGTTTAAAATATAATTTTTATGTTCCTAAGTTCAATTTATGAAAAGACGGTTCTAATTATTCTCTATTATCGAATTCCTATTGTGAGACGTTCTTACTGCCAGAAAATGATTTAAGCGATTATTTTCAAACATTGACTTAAAATGGTTTCTCATTTTGTTATTATCAGTTTCATAATTTACACGGTTTGGCATTACGTTAAATAATACAGATGTTGCAAATGCTATTGCATATACTCCACACTAAACACTACCAAAAAGTTGTTGATTAACAGCTTCAAAAACTACTGTTGGTTTAAAAGGGAACAATCTAATTAAACATTTTATTTGATGCACATTTAAACACCCCTCATTAAGGCTATCAAAAATATAAAGCCTTACTCTATCGTAATAAACATAAATTCAGTGACCATAATTGTTATTACCGCTAAAAAGTATTTGAATATGTTTATCACCTTCTCTAATTGGGACAATAAAATCAAGCATTTGTACATACAAAGTACTTTGCACATTGAAAAATAAATTGGAATCTTTTCTTAATAATTCTTCAAATTTGTACATATGCATGTAATTTAACAATTTATTTCTATTTTCAATAATTTTTAAATCTTTATCACTTAAAATAACATACTCTTTTATGTTGGCCATAGTATACTTCGTTTAATTTTATTTTTGATTGATGAAAATCTAAATATCTTTAACCCTTTTGCTCACTCTCTCTAATATAACCAATTTTGTCTTTAATTCAATACAACCAATTTTACCTTTTATTAAAAATAAGCAATTTTTCCTTTAATTCAATACAATTAATTTTACCTTTTACTAAATATAACCAATTTTGCCTTTAATCCAATATAACCAATTTTGCCTTTTATCCAATAAAACTACCAAATATCCAAAAGAATGAGAGAACTATGAGTAACTATGAATCAGTAACTACTGATCAGCCAATAAGTGCAAAAAGGACACTCTTATATGAGTAATCAGTAGTTCATTACAAATAACATATATACGTATTTATACCTGTATTAAAACCCCGGAACAAATACCACAAAAAAACCAACCATTGGACAATAGAACCTTTGTTAATGGGGATTAACTCTGAGGACCCAGGTAATAATTTCTTTTTTCACATTTATTATATAGAAAAATAAAGATGTACCAACCCTTGGCCAATAGAACCTTTGTTAATGAAGATTAACTCTGAGTACATAATGAAATGTACAGTAGGTTTACATTGACAACGGCACGTCCGACGTCTCGAAATTTTTTCCGTGTATTATCACAAGGAAATATAAAGATAAAAGTCAAAAACTGAAGAGGTAATGTATATCTTTCTTTCTCACATCAAGGAATATAACATATAATTTTCATTTAATATTGCATTTCTCTATCTAGAGGATTCAAAATAACATAAGAATATCTTCGCCTAAAAATCTTACTCTTCTTTCTTTCTGTTTTCAAAATAAAAAAAATATGTATATACCAGTATTAGACTCTCAGAACAATTACCACAAACAATACCAATCCTTGGACAATAGAGCCTTTGTTGATGAAGATTAATTCTGAGGGGCCAGGTAATAATTTTTAAATTTTTTTATTAAAATTTTCTGGGGCTCTAATACAGGTAGGGGAGAGTGATAAACAGTGGGACAGTTTAAACAGTAAGTCACTTTAATTTTCTGAAAAACTGCTAAAGAAACTCGACCAAAATTTAAATGTAAACCATGTTTATGACAACACACTATCCATACGCAAGCGCATTTATACTTACACAGCGACTAAAAATGTGATTTTTTATGCTAAAAAACATTAAAAAATTCAAAATTTATAATTATTACAATTATTGTTCGGCAAAATTTGAAAAATAACACTTGATAAGAGAACGACTATTCAAATTTTCCTCCAAATTGTTTTTATGTTATGACGAAATTATGACGTATGATCAGCAGTACTGTAAACGTAAAAAAAAATAATAACAATTTTTTATATGAAACTTGGCATCGTATTATAAAAATGTAAAATATTATTAAAATATAAGTGTTTTGCAACATTTGTTAACGTTATTTAATGCAAAACATATATATTTATAATGTATGAAGCAGAATATTATTATTGAAACAAATATTCATTATTTAATAATAGGTGTCCCACTGTTTAACACAAACCTTGAAAACAAGAAAAATGTATCAAGTTCCAAAAACTTGAAATTTTTCTATTTAATCACAATATAATTTAAATAGAATATATGCATTATGTGGAAAAGAGTTCAAACTTTATGGTAATACCAAAAAGTGGACAAAAATATATAAAATTGAAAAAAAGTGATCTTATGCCATTTTGAATTGTCTAGATGGAGAAACGTAATGTTAAACGAAGAAGTACTTATGTTATATTCCTTGGTGTAAGAAAGAAAGGTATGCGTTACCTTTTTAGTTTTAGACTTTCTTTATAGTTTTTTCACGTGATAAAGGGAGAAAGAAATTATTACCTGGGTCCTCAGAGTTATTCATTAATCCTCTTTAAAAGATTGCAGGTCAAGCGAACCCTCATTTGCAAAATAAAGATATATCTTTCTCTCTCCATAACTTGTTCTTTTCTCTGTCACCGAAAACCCAGCAGGGGTCCGGACGGAATGAATGAATGAATACCAAGATTATTATAGTTAATAGACAGATTTTTCTGCACTTGTGAGAAACTTAATATTACATTGTTAAATATTTAAAAATAAAAATAATTATTTATTACGAAATAATAAAATATTTTATTACCATTCAAAGAACAATTTTTATCATAAAATCATTTAATTTAATTATAGAAGCAAACTTATAACAAATATTCTATAATTATATTTAGAAAATGAAATATAGAATAATTAAAAACAATTATTTATCAAAACTTTTTCTAGTCTATATTGCAGAAATAAAAATTATATAAAAATTATGAGCAAACAAATGAAATATTTTATTATTAAATATTAATTAAAATTATTTTTAATTCATATTGCAGTATTAAAAATTATTTTAAAATCAGGATGTCCAGCAAAGGCTTAAAGAAAAAAATTCCCTGACTTTTCTCTGACATTTTTTTTTCGTGACTACTCGTTAGAGATCGGTCAAACCCGGTCGGACTCACTCGCTTAACTTCGTCAAACTTGGGTGATTTTTGATATTTTTCGATCATTTTTTGAAAGAAAAAGTTTCTATTATATTTAAATACAAGGATTTAACAACAATCCACTTTCTTATCGACTATATAAAAATGTAAAATGATTATACCAGTTAACGGAATTCTAAATACAGAAAATGAAATATTTTATTCTAATAGTTGTTACAGGGCGTATTAGAATTTAACATTTGGAGTTTTCATAATACAATTATGAATTTCGCAAAAACTATTCTAATTTTTGTTTCTAAATATATTAAACTTTATTATTTTTATTTTAGGCATTCTTAAAAAAAAGTAACGAAAGTTATTACCACCCCAAAATTTGCAAAATCATCCGTAAATATGAGTTCAAAATATTAAATATTCTAACAAGATTTCTTTCCGTGGATTTCATGATAATCAGTCACATAAACCAGATTCGGCCTTCCATTAATTTTTTTCTAAAAAAAAAGTTCTTATTAATTCACAATAACTGTATTACAACAGCAATATTTATTACATGAATATAAAGATTTCATTTATTTTAATAGTTTAGAATATAATTGATTTATTCCATTTTTTAAGTATTTTTATTAAATATTTAACATAAGGTACACATTCCAAATAGCACAACATATTCTACAATGTTGCCTGACAATTTTACTATTAATAAATATAAATTATTCAAATAAAAATGCATTTACTTATAATCAGGGTAAATACACTAATTACGGCGCGATTCGAGTCAAAACACATTTGAAATAGAAAATTCGACATTTCTATTGTATAAAGTCAATTTAAGGGTAGGTCAAAGGCGATACGATTTTTCCATTTAAGTTCTATGTAAAAATTGCTTCGACTTTGACATGCCCTTAAGACTTATTAAGGGGGGCGCCTACTTAATCGGGTCGAAAAAATCGATTTTTTCAAAGTTGTCTTAACTGAAAGTACAACTATCAGAGAATATGCTCTTAAAATATTACGTCAAAATACAAAGTATTTTTCGAGTTACAGCTTGTAGAACGCAATAAAGCGCGTGGCCTGGCGCGCGACTCCACTCGCAGTCTCTAATACTTTTCATAATTTGTTGCGCTTATCTACTATTACACCTACCATTAAAATTACCATTTATCAGTAAAATGTCGTCATATCCAAAAGATACCCATAAAAAAAAATAGTCGTTCATCGAGGCCGCGAAAAACACGTAAGTTTTTAATAAACAGCATTTACATGTTTTTCAATCTTTAAACTCGTTTTTCTCAAAACACTGTTTTTGTAGTTTGCGTACACGATAGACAAAAATCTTTTCAACCGATTAAGGTCTACCTGGGCTTGTTTTGAAGATAAAAAGTGTCTCTTCTGTATGAATTAAATTTGTTTTTGATAGAGTTAAATTTAGTGCTTTCTTTTAAAGAAAAAATGAGATTTTTTTTGACGAAAATTAAATTTTTTTTAAAAAAGTCATGTAAAAATGTCAGTTTTTACTTTCTATTGAAATCTTTTAATACATACAGAAGACAATAATGTATATTTAAAGAAAAAATTTTGTTTTTTTGTTTTAGATAAGAATTGTGGACCCTAGATTGTACGCAATGGGAAAATTTCAGCAGCGAGGCGTTATATATATGGCGTTTATTTTATTATTAAATTCTATTTTCATTTAATCAAAAAATTATATTTCAAAGATTTAAATATATAAGAAAACATACACTGAATCTCGCATTGATTTATTGAAATGTGTTTGAGAAAAAAATTCCTGAAATGTACGCAGTTTTTAACCTTCTAAAGTAGGCGCCCCCCTTAAACAAAAGGTTATATTATTTGGATATTAAAAAAAAAAAATTTAAACTTTATGAAAATCAATTATTTAAACAAATATGATAAATTAAAACTAATATCCGTAATTTTCTATTACGGCGCGTTTGTATCAGTTTCGGTGTATCAATTACGGTGACTAAAATTACGTGTATTTTGAATATACTTTGCCCACCGTAATAGAAGCCAATGGAAATATTAAAAATGTTTCAATAACGGCGAGGAAAAAAATTTAATCTCAAAATAATTAAATTAATAATTGTTTAAATGTGCATCTTTATTAGTAATTGTATATCAAAAAAAGATTAAAATAATTATTTTAATTATTTTGCAACAGTTATATATTAAATATAATAGTAATAGTTATTTTTTATGAACGCACCGTAATTGATGCACTTTCCCTATATTATTGATAAAAAAATTAAATAATACGATAATAATGATATTATAAAACCAATATAAATTAATTGAAATCACAATTTGTTCATCTTATTAGTTGGTCATAGAAATTAGAACACTCAAATAGGAGAAAATTGTTTTTAGTATCTGAAAATATCAGTTAAAAATTTAGCCATCTCTGAAAATATATTGTAATAACAATATTATGAAAAAAATCTCCACAGCACCGAAACTTTCCTGAAAATTTATTAAATATTTACTTGCAATATTTGGAATATTTAATTGCAAAGTTTAGTAAACATTGTTTAAAAAGAATTAAATGTTCCGATTAAATAAATATAATGTTTCACAGAAAATTAAAAGGCATTAAAATAAGCTGCAACGCTTATTATTTTAATACAATTTTGCTTATTTTAATCCATTTTGGTATGAAAATAAGCAAAAATTGGATTAAAATAATAAGCGTTGCAGCTTATTTTAATGTCTTTTAATTTTTTTGTGTTAGTGTGAAACTTTCCGGAACATTTAAATCTTTACATAACTTTCAATAAACATTGCAATTAAATGTTCCAAACGTTGCAAGTAAATATTTACTAAATTTTCCATAAAGTTTCGGTGCTGTGGGGGAAAATTTAATATTTAATAAATTTTACCGTGCTAAAAGTTTCCATAGATAATGTGGAAAATTTTCCACAGGATAGTTTAGATTCTTTATAACTTCTCATCATCATTGTCAATAATAATTTTCTTCCTGTCACAGACATTCTATACCAATGACTGGAATATCTGAGAAATAAAAAGAAGATTTAGACGACATTTTTTTTTTATCTTTTTAATTTAAAATTTATTATTGAGTTTGCGATCAAAATTTCGAAAATGAAAAAACCCTTTTTGGTAATAAATTTTAAGGAATATTATCAATTTATATAATTTAAAGTTTTTGATACGAATATTTTTCTATTATACCTATTATAAACTTACAAATATACATTAACAATTAAACTATGATCCTTTAATCTTTGTGCAGGAACACAGTTATATAAAAGATGAATTATTTGACCAGCAGCAAAAGCCAAGTACTTGGTTACAATCTCCATTTCATTTATATTTAGTACAACCTTTATAATAAAATGTTTATTTTACATATAAAATTTAACATATTTTATGACTTATTACAATTTGCAAAACAATAACATTTAATTGACTCAAATAATAATTATTTAATATTGAGAAATATTATTTATTTGATAATAGTAAAGTAATCGATTATTATTTGAATCAAATAATTTTTTTTAAAGATTATTACAATCTCAGATAGGACAAGTTTTTGCACGGAACTTGTCACGGTATTGTGTGATAAGATTTGTAATATTACATTGCAATATCGGGGCAAGGTTTCAGTAAGATTAAAAGGTTCCTCCTCATAAATAACATTGCATTACAAGTCTGAGGCAATATTGCGTTATGCAGTATTGAGAAAATTTTGCCTGTCAATGTTGAGGTCTCGTGGCCTTCTAAGGTAACGTTTACTACCATTAGTAACGATTGCTATAAAAAATGTTGCTATGGAAACGGACGGACGGACGGACGCCGAAGCGAAACTATATATATATAAAGCTTTCGGGCCTGAACCACGAAACCCTAAAAATGGAAGCAAGGCCATATGCCATATGCAAGGTTGTTGTGAGTTCCAATTTTTCAATCTTGCTAGAACCTTGCCCTGATATTGCAATGTAATATTGCAAAGCTTTCCCCGCAATTATACCAGGACAAATTCCATAAAAGAAGTTGTGCTGTCTATAGAATATGATTATGATAAAACATACCATTGCGCCTACAAATGTCAATAGTAGTAATAAAATGCCGTAAGTGATAAACAAACATTCTGTGAAACATAAATCGATTTTTTCGACAAACCTTTTGAAATGAAATTAATGTTAAATAAATAAACAAAAAAAAAAAATAACATGTTTAATAATGCAAAATACTAACTGAATTATTTCATTATGTAACAAAATGCAATTAATAATATTTTCTTGTATCTTCTCCTCATGGCTAATAAGCTTAGTTGTTATTTTTATATTTAGAATATTTTCAATGCGATACCTGTTAATAATAAAAATCAATATTGTTAGAATTTATAGGTAACACCTATTAAAAAATATACAAAGTAAACAAATTTATAAATACCACAAAACACGATACATTCCACAAGCATGATGTATAAAAGAATAAAGCATAATATCAAATGTATTGCATGTAACAATTGCAAAACCGCCGCTAATTAATGTTTGTAAAAAACAATACCAATAATAATCATTTTTGTCAAAAAATATATACTCTAATTCCACGGCGTTAATTTTTTTTCTTGTCTCATTAAGTGGCAAAAATATATCAAGAATTTGTGGCGTTAAAGTTACTGCGAAAAAAAGTACTATTGACGTTGTCATGTAAACTGTAAAATAAAAATAAATGAGTAATTAAATTATTCCCTGTTCCATATTGAAAATTCCCATATACAGATTCGTATATATATATATATATATATATATATATATATATATATATATATATATATATATATATATATATATATATATATATATATATATGAGGAATGGGAATCCATATGGGAATTTTTAAATGAATTCTATTTAAATAGGATTTTATTTTACTCATATAAATTAGATTTGTATTTTTTCCTTCTTTTGTTGATTTTTTTAAAATATAAAATTCTTCCTCAAATGGTTCGATCTTTTTGAAATCTTCTATAATTTTGTCTAATAAAAATTGTATCTAAAATATGGAGAAGAATTGTTTATGTTTTTTTTTTTTTTTTTAAATAATCCACCCCGTAAGAAATTTAATTATTAGAACAACTACTGGATTCATTACTGGAATGTTCAGTAATTCTTTTGCCGTACATTTATTAAAAATTTAATTATTGCGCACTAACAATAAGTTTCAGTGGCTTATATGTTTGCGCAATAGTTTTTTTGTTGTAAATTAAATGCATTGGAATATATTTAACAAAAAATTACGATTCTATTGAAATTAAAATAAAAAATTTTGTTGTACTAAAAAAAATACATCTCGCGAAAAAATTACTCGATTTTCTAATTAATCCAATAAATACCAATTATTATTATTCCAGTAAATATTTTTCATAAGAAATGATAAAACATACATATGTTTTTCTTGGTACACTGAAAAAAGAATTTATTTGATTCAAATAAACGGTTACTTGACTGCTATTATTAAATAAATAATTAGTTGAACCAAATAATTTCGATTTAAAACCAATATTTTTGGTATATTTGAAACAAATATAATTTAATTGGCTCGAATAAAAATTATTTGACTCAATTAAATATTTATTTGATATATAAATATAGTCAAGTATAACCGATTACACAGGACCACAAAAAAATCGAACTTTTTTTTAAAGGAAATATGTAATATGTTTTTCTGACGTATTTTGATGCGCTGAACACGAATCTGAAGTCCGATTTGCTTCATCAAATCAGGATTTTTTTCTAACCTCAAAAAACATATCTAATAGTAATCAATCAAAGTAACCTAAAAATTCTTGTTGACTTGGGTCCTAGGGGTTTTTGAGGTCGCCGATCAAGAATCCAATGTCAGATTTAAAAAAATTTTAAATTGCGGATGCAATATGGAGGATAATTTAAAAAAAAATTGCATCTGCCATTTTGAATTTTTAAAATTTGACATTGGATTCGTGATAAGCGACCCTAAAAACCCCTAGAACCCAAGCCCACAAGAATTTTGAGTGATTTGTTTGATTAGATATGTTTTTTTGAGGTTAGAAAAAAATCCTAACATGATGAAGCAAATCGGATTTCAGATTCGTGTTCAGCGCTTCAGAATACCTCAGAAAATCATATTCCATTTTGCATTGGAAAAATTTCGATTTTTTTTGTGGTCCTGGTGTTATTTGAATCAAATAAATGTTTTTTTTTTCAGTGTAAATATACTCACATCTGGCGTTTTAACAATAAAAAATATATATGTTACTATACAAAAAATACACATCGCACACATTGGAATGCATATAACAAACTTATGAAAGTTGTCTCTTGCTACATATAATGCTGTCATCTGCAAAAAATATTTAAAAATTTAATTTCCAAGTTTTTATGTCAAAACCTCATAATATTGAATTTATTTTCTTTTATTTATTAATTTAAATTTATCATTTCAAAAAAAAAAAAAAAAATTTTTTCTAATATAAATATTTATGAATTACTTACTAACGGTACATCTAACGATAGAAAAGAAGTAATAAAGAAAACACGTATTAATCGATTTAAAATTTCACTCTGATAAGGCCAATGCCCTAATACCTTCATAAAATATTTGTTAACGTTGAGATATTCCATATTTTGGAGAAAAAAAAATCTAAACCGTTCTTTTTTTATTATATCAGGAAAAATTTATATTTTGTTTCACGACTTTAATAAAACATTATATCTATCCACACAGCAAATATTATAGATATGTGAAAAATGTTTCTTTGAAATATTTTAAATCTTTTAATAAAATATTTCTGAAATATTTAGAGAAAATATTATAATTCTCTGTGTGCTTGTAAATTAGTTTAAATATTTTTTCGTTAAATTTAAACAATATACAGTAAAACCCCGTTTATCCGAGCTCGCTTTATCTGAGGTCTCGATTATCCAAGGTGGTGTCCCAGTAGGAAATTCTGTATTATCTGAGTCTAGTCTACTTCATCCGAATTATTTTTAATTTTAATTTTTTATAAATATGAGTTTATTTTTAATAAATTCAAATTGTTTAAATTATTATGAAATATATACAATATTATATTCTTGTTTGTAATAAATAATAATTGTTTAAACAATAATAATGTTAAATTGTAATAACAATTCGGATTATCCGAGTTTTCGCCTTATCCGAGGTATAGGTCCGGTCCACATTAGCTCGGATAACCTGAGTCCTACTGTATATTATTTATATAAAGAGATTATACGTTGTCTATAAACTTTCTTTTATAAGAGTTCTCTGTTGTTCTGCTCTTTCAAGAACTTTTCATTTTTATAAAGTTTTTCAAATATTCGTTTACATAGAAAGAGGTACTATGAATTATTAATTAAAATTTCTGGAAACAATTGATGATGGTGAAGAAAAGAATTTTATTTCTTAAGAATTGATTTTATCCCTTGTATATATTCTAGGAACGATATTTACATAATAAAGTGACTAAAGATGTACTCATAATTTTATAATGCATATTCAGGAGTTGCGTGCAATCGTTACTTTGCTCTAGTTTCAAGGTTTAGTATTGACTTGACCTTCAATATGAAACAATGTTTCTTTCCAATATATGATTTTATATACTTGGTTAAAGATATAATACTTTATATTTTTGAATAAGTCTATCAAAAGAATTAATTTACATTTAAACTAGATAAAATATATATATAATAATATTTGATTAAATATAATAATAGTTTGTTATAATAATTAATATGAATTACTGTGACGGTTAGTTGATATCATATGATTTAAGTTGCTTTACAAAAGAAAAATTTCTTTTTCGTAAATGTGTATAATCAAACTATATTCAGATTAAATTCTAATTTCGGATCGCTGATTACAAACCCGATGTCAGTTTTCAAAATTAATAATGGCGGACGACTTTTTCAAAAATTTATCGGCTTCACTTGAAACTTGTTTCGCGAAGGTTTTGAGCGGTCGATGATTACGATTCTTACATCAGTTTTTTAAAAATTCTAATGGCAAATTTAACCCAAAAACTTTCGAATATAAGTTTCATGCGAATTTGATCAATTTTAGAAAAAGTCGTCCGCCATTTTGAATTTTGAAAAACTGACATTGGGTTCGTAATCAGTGACCCCAAAAACCACATAGTAACAAGTTTGAAGCGAATGCATAAGATTTTCAAAAAGTCATCCGCCATTTTCAATTTGGATAAATTAACACTGGATTCATACAGTAGGTTATGATTTGTAAACAATTTTGTATTTGGACGACATTTTTGATACGCCATTTCAATTTTTCTTCAACACTTTGATTGCTGATTCTGAAAGAGTGATATCCCTGGCGGATTTGATTAACCTAAATTCGACTCAACCGGGGCGAATCTAAGTCGAATTTAGGTAATTATCAAAAAAAAGCTTTAAATTGATGAAAATTTATAAAAATTAGTATTGTGAGGTTAAATGAACATTTATAGAGTTAATTTTTGTAAGAATTTTAATTATTAACGTGATAAATAATAAATAATCACTTGATATGTGCAAGTGGTAACTGTAGATTTTTAACTCGTTGTCAGTTTTCATAATATTTTCAAGAAATTAGTGTAAAATGTGTGAAAAAATAATTTATATTTAATAGAAATTGCAAATTTTATTAAATTATTTTTTTATTTATCGAGCGCAGTTTAAAATAATTGCAATTTAATTAAAAAAAAAGTTTTCTTAAAAGTAATAAGAACTCTACTATACCGACAGCAAGAGGATATTTTCAGGTAAGTAAAGTTATTGTAGCGTGTAGTTTTGCTGTGACTAAAAGATGTCGCTTTAGTTTCTATAGTGTGGGGGTTGGCCAATGGATGTCTCTGCCATTGGTCAATACCCATGTGCTCTCTCACAAGTGTAGATGTTGCTTGGCGTGTAGCATATATACACGATCCGACTCTCACTTCCCCATGGTCGTATAAGGCAGGTTTCCCACTACGCAGCCTTACTGATGAGTCCAGTAGTGGGGCCCGGGACGAAACGACTAGTGGCTTCCAAGCTACACTTATGGGTAACAACACAGTTGTTCCCATAATAGTGATCAGACAGGGACATCGAATCTCATGATCAAATATTCATGAATATTCATCTCTCACGGTGGGCTTGAACAAACTTTGAATAAAGGATCATAGCACACCTTTTTTTATTACAAATTTTGGTTATTTAGGTCATAAATAGCGTGTAAAAAAATTATAGCCCATAACTTGTCGAGCCGTTTTTGAGAAAACTCATTTTGAAAGAAAATCTAGTTTTCTTTGGAAAATTTAATACATTTACATTGAATTCCCAATTTAAGTATTTCAATTATGACATTTATACTTTTTCCAAATTATAATGAAAATAAAACTATATTTCAGAAATTATAATTTCATTTTTTAAGTAATACATTATTTGTTTAAATAAATTGACTGTATTTTGTAAAAAAAATTTATAGTATAAGAGAAAAACCCTTTAATGGACGAAACTGTACCAGATATATCATAAACTTTTATAAAATGTAGAATTTAACAACTCAATTGTACAGAATTTTAGACACTAATACTTCAAATTTTTAAATCGCAGGCTATTAAATATGTTGAGCGTTATATTCTTGTACTGCTCTAAGTAATTTTGATAGATATTCCGGATGCTTGTCAAAAACTTTATATTTGGCCCAAGTTGTCTTGAAGTCTGAATGTAAGGATTCTACAGCTTGCTCACTATAAAATCCCAATTCCTCGCCTGATTTCTCACAAAACTGAGAAACATGAAATATCACGGCATGGACTTTCGGCGTAACGGAAATGTTCAAATCATAATAACTTTTTTTAAAGTTAGAAATAAATTTTTTATAATTAACATCAAGAGTCAAAGAAAAACACGATTGCACAACGGTTTTAAAATCATCAAAACATTTCACGCGAAATCATTTATGGTTCTCAGGAATTTGCGGGAAATTCATGCAATATTCTATTAAATAGGACAGATCTATTGCGACAGATATGTAGTATCAATTGCTTGAAATACGTGAAATGTTTTGATGATTTTAAAACCGTTGTTCAATCGTGTTTTTCTTCGACTCTTGATGTTAATTATAAAAAATTTGTTTCTAACTTTAAAAAAAGTTATTCTGATTTGAACATTTCCGTTACGCTGAAAGTCCATGCCGTGATATTTCATGTTTCTCAGTTTTGTGAGAAATCAGGAGAGGGATTGGGATTTTATAGTGAGCAAGCTGTAGAATCCTTACATTCAGACTTCAAGACAACTTGGGCCAAATATAAAGTTTTTGACAAGCATCCGGAATATCCATCAAAATTACTTAGAGCAGTACAAGAATATAACGCTCAACATATTTAATAGCCTGCGATTTAAAAATTTGAAGTATTAGTGTCTAAAATTCTGTACAATTGAGTTGTTAAATTCTACATTTTATAAAAGTTTATGATATATCTGGTACAGTTTCGTCCATTAAAGGGTTTTTCTCTTATACTATAAAATTTTTTTATTTTTTTTACAAAATACAGTCAATTTATTTAAACAAATAATGTATTACATAAAAAATGAAATTATAATTTCTGAAATATCGTTTTATTTTCATTATAATTTGGAAAAAGTATAAATGTCATAATTGAAATACTTAAATTGGGAATTCAATGTAAATGTATTAAATTTTTCAAAGAAAACTAGATTTTCTTTTAAAATGAGTTTTCTCAAAAACGGCTCGACAAGTTATGGGCTATAATTTTTTTACACGCTATTTATGACCTAAATAACCAAAATTTGTAATAAAAAAAGGTGTGCTATGATCCTTTATTCAAAGTTTGTTCAAGCCCACCGTGCTCTGTTCTATCTTATATCTAATCTATAGAAACTAAAGCGACATCTTTTAGTCACAACAAAACTACACGCTACAATAACTTTAAGGCCAACGCACAATAGGTTTGCGAAGCAGTTGTGCTTAAGCCTATACTTACCTGAAAATATCCTCTTGCTGTTGGTATAGTAGAGTTCTTATCACTTTTAAAAAAACTTGACCTTTAATATGAAATAATGATTCTTTCCAATATGATTTTGCTTCCTCGTGGAGGAAGCTTTGTAGTCCTTTCGTTTATAAAACTTTTCAAAGTGGTGGGAACAAATTTTTTTCTTCATAGAAACATATTATATGAGATCCTGATCAATTGTATGTATGTGTGTGTGTGTGGATCCCTTTTTTGTTTAGAAGATAACTTTAACAGGTTTTAATGGATTTAGATAAAATCTGGTAGGCTCATTTATCATATTAATATCTCAAATCTGACCAAAGGATTTTGAAAAATACCCAAAAAAAAAAAATTTTATCGTCTTTTTTCAAAAAATTTTTTTTTAATCGAAAAAAATTTTAAATAGAAAAATTTAAGGTTATATATAATAAAATCAGATTCCTTACGTCAAGACGAATCGATCGATATATATAAAGTATTCATTTGAGGTAAATTTAAAGAATTAATGAAAGTTAAAAAATCAAAATCACATTTTGGCAATAAAATTTTGCTTTCTCCACGAGGAAGCAAATTTTTTTGCTGATCGTAAAGAGGAAGCAAAATGTTTATGTAATGAACATCTGAATTTACAACTTGTTATAAATTGTTGAAGATAACTTTAGAATTTTGAATAAGTGTCAAATTAAATTAAACAACAATTTAAATGTTTTTAAATAGTTTTCTATTAATTATAGTTATTAGTGAAAAACTAATTGTAAAAATTAGTTAAAAGTGATTAATTCAGATTTAAAGAGTACGTAATAATTATGTGTTTTTCCATAAGTATTGAAATATAATTTTTTTTAATATTCATTAATTTCATTTATATTCAATTATTCTATTGTGTACATCAATGTTTATTCATCTATAATTTTGAATAAACCTTACGAATACGATTAATATTCAACTTTTAAAATACGATATCTATATAAAAGATATTTTATACCTTATGAATAGAAGAATTTATGTACGTAATGATTACGTACTCAATTTTATATTGTAATATGTTATAAAAGGTACTAAAATATGAATTGAAAATTATAATTTACCATATTTTTTTTACATACATCTTATTGTCTATTAGAAATAATGATAATTATTTTATACGTAATACTTTATAATCAATGGTACTTAATAGTTTCAATTCATAATGGTAGATATTCTTATATCAGCAGGGAATAATAACTAACTATATATATATATATATATACATTTGTATTATATATTTTATATAAGATGTGTTTATTTTTTTCAAATTCTTCAGCAATAAAATTTAAGACTGCTTTTAAAGAAGGGTAATAAAAGCAAACAATTTTACTGCTAACAATTTTTTTTGTCTTAAGTTTTATTTTCTTATTAAAAATTATATATATATTTACAGATGTGTTTATTTTATAATTTTATTTTTCACTCTTTTTGTGCCATTCTCTCAATCATTTGTTATTAAGGACAGTTTGTTAATCAATGATGGTAATTATTTTAAAAATTTAATTTTTTAATACCAACCCACTTGAAATGATTCCCCGTAAAGTGCCACCTGGAGGTTCTATCAGAATTCCGCCGGAACTTCCAACGTAATTCCGTTGGAATTCCATCGGAGTTCCAAAAAATTTCCAACGGAATTCCGATTAATTTTTTTTTCCAAATTTTTAGAGTCCTAATTCCGTCGAAACTCCATCGGAATCTCATCGGAAATTCTTTGCAATTCCGACGGAATTACGTTGGAAGTTCCGGCGGAATTCTGATAGAACCTCCAGGGGGCACTTTCCGGGGAATCTTTCCAAGTGGGAACAAAATTCTAGATTGAGAAAATAATTGAACAAAAAATTCTATTCTCGAGAACTTTTTACCATTTTGTTTTTTTTTAAATTATTAAAATTTGAATTTGATCTTCTCTAGTATCTGACTATGAGCTGGTGCCAATTCGTTACAAAAGACAAATTATTAATGAATTAATAATTCAAACAAAAATAAATGGAAAAGATCATGAAATTTATTTGCAACTTACGGAAGGTTTGCTTGCAGGTAGAGGGACGAAAATTTTTATTGCTAGAACAAATGCCCAAAATATTGTGAATTTTGAAATTTTACCAAATGTACGTATAATTTATAAAGATAATATACATTTATCTTAAAAAGACTATTTATAATATTCAATATATGTAAAGTTTTTAGGTTAATTTAAAAAAAAAATAATTTTTTCTGTTAAATTTAAAATTACATATATTTGTAAATAAGAACAAAATTTAAAATTTTTAAAAAAAATGCTAATAAATATTATAATTTTAGGTGATGGACAATGTCTTTTTAAAATTTTATCAAAATCCAAAAACGTTATCATCTATATCACTGAGTGTTAATAAAGATGGTAAATTCGAATTTGTAAGTATTACATTACTTGGCGGTTTTGTTGTAGCTTTAAATTTTATAAATTAAAAAATTTTTTTTTTTCCCAAGAATGGAATCATTAATGACAACATAGTGATTAGTCCCATACCCCATAATTTTCGTAAACGTCGCGATTTATTGAGAAGAAATTTTTCATTCTTTGAAAATGATGCCGAAGATTTTATAAATTCTGACGAACACATAATTTATAAACAAACGTTTAATAATGCCTCCCGTAAGTATTTATTCTTTATAAATAAAAGAAACTAAAAACTAATATAAATATAAAGAATAGTTATTTTAGTTATTACAGTATTTTTTTATAGTAAATTTTACTTTTAATTATACAGAGTGATTTTTATGTTCCGGACCCCCTAAAAGTTTTTTGTTTAATCTCATTTTTTAAACAAAAAAAAGTGGAATTAAAAAAAAAATTTTAGGAATCCGGAATATAAAAATCACCCTGTATATAAATATTCTAAATAAAAAGCAAAGCAATTTTTTTAGAACATTCAATATCTAAGATTTTTGATGATAAAATGGAAATTAAGAGTGTATTCCGTAGATCAATAACAGAGATTCCAAACATAGTTTATCCGGAAATTATGGTTTTTATTGACGACGTGCTTTTTAAGTAAGTTGCATTTTATTCTTTTGCGCGCTCCAAAGAAAGGAACATAAAAAGAAAAAATTTTAGATTATGTTTTTTTTAAAATCAAGCGATGAGAGCTCGATGTTCGGAAAATTAAGGAATTAATATCGTGCACAAAGTTTCTCATAACCTCTAGAAACCGGTTTTCTTTGGGATCACACATAACCTAAATTTTTTTTTTTTTTACAGTCGCATTCCACGTGGAGCGTTACTTATATATCTTTTAACGAACAATATTGATAAACTTTAATATTATTTTCTCTAAATAACAGAAAATTTAATTTTGATGTGGTAAAAGCTGTAGAATATACTTTGGGTTTCTGGAATGGAGTTGATTTAAGATACAGAGAATTTGAAAAACCAAAAGTTCGCCTCTACGTTGCCGGCATAGTATTAGCTCAAGTATGTTTATTATATACAGTAAGAAAAGCTCCATGGTAGTCATAGGAAAGCATGCGTTACGCATAAGTTTGTCTCACTCGCACTCATGGGCTGTGACTACCATGGAGCTTTTCTTACTGTATATATAAAAAAACATTCACATATACACAACAGAAAAATGATTATCCCATAAAAATTATTAGTGAGAATTTTCACTTTCAATAATTTCATTACATATAATTATTTTTTACACGAATTTTCGCATTTTTCAAATTAATATTTTTGTCAGAATTTCGTTTTTAAAGAATTTTTAATTAACAGAATTCTTAGGCACCGAAATTTTAATTGGCAGAATTCTTAAAACGCCGAATTTTCATTTGTCCAAAATTGCAAATGGCCGAGCAAACAATCGATTTTGGCGCCATTTTTAAAATCAACCCATCAAAAATTATCCATAAAATTGTGATTTGTTGATTTTAAAAATCGCGCCAAAATCGATTGTTTGTTCGGCCATTTGTAATTACGGATAAATAAAAATTCGGCGTTTTAAGAATTCTGCCAAATAAAATTTCGATATATAAGAATTATGTTAAGTAAAAATTTGTTTTAAAAAGTAATTCTGTCAAATGTTAATTGGAAAAATAAAAATTCGTCTAAAAAATAATTATATCTAATAAAATTCTTTAAAATGAAAATTTTAACTAATGATTTTTATGTGATAATCATGCGCCCCGAAAAATGAATCTTTTTTTTCAAAAAAATTTGTCCTATTTATAGAGTCAAAGAAAAAATTTCGTAAAATCAAAGAAATTATTTCTTTACTTTTTTTTTTTTTTGATTGACTATAAAGGAATATTTCTTTGATTTTAAGAAATTCTTTATTTGAATTTTTATTTTAATGCAAAAATTTTGTTTAAATGAAAAATATATTTTATATTTTGAGATTGAATTAAAAAAACGATTTCTTTGTTTCAAAGAAATTTTTTGTATAATTTATTAATAACAAATTCTGTGCTAAAGGAACCACTGCCATTTGTAAATAAAGCAATCGACTTACTTCCTAAAGGAGAGATATATTCAGATCTATTAATTAATGGATTTACTAGATTTTTACATGAGGAAAAATTTATTCAACCAATCAAAGATTATGATATATCCATGTTTATAACAGGAAGAGATATGTTGGATTCAACAACTCGTAATAAAAATTTAACTGGTGTGTGTGGAACATTGTTATATTCAATCATACACAAAAAACATTAGGACACATGAATTTGTTCTAAAAATCATTAGTTACTCTCTAAATCTGAATTAGTAAAAATGTTTACTAATTTGAATTAGTGACTCACTTTTTACTTCTGAATTAGTAAAATTTTACTAATTATTAGTAACTTTTACTAACAATTAGTAAAATTTTACTAATTCAGAAGCAAAAAGTGAGTCACTAATTCAAATTATTAAACATTTTTACTAATTCAGATTTAGAGAGTAGAATTTTCATTTTATGGAATTGTCATAATTATTTTTGAGACAAATTTTTATTTGTATGAATTAGTATATTGCAGAATTTTCATTAAAACGATTTTCTATATTATACAGAATTTTTATATAACCAAAAATTCAATTTACAGAATTTTTATTTGTCAGAATTTTTATTTGCTCGAAATTTCATTTAACATAATAGGGCATTTTAAAGAATTTTCATTGGGCAGAATTTCATTGCATAAAAGTTTCATTTTATTCTTACAGATGAATTTTCATTTGTTCAAATTATTATTTGATTGAATTTACATATAAACGATTTTTCATACTACAGAATTTTTACTCAACCGAAAAAATTATTTAACAGAATTTCTAAATGATAAAATTTTCATTTGTCCGAAATTTCAAATGGCCGAAACAACAATCGATTTTGGCGCGATTTTTAAAATCAACCAATCACAATTTTATGGATAATTTTTGATTGGTTGATTTTAAAAATTGCGCCAAAATCGATTGTTGTTTCGGCCATTTGAAATTTCGGACAAATGAAAATTTTATCATTTAGAAATTCTGTTAAATAATTTTTTCGGTTGAGTAAAAATTCTGTAGTATGAAAAATCGGTTATATGTAAATTCAATCAAATAATAATTTGAACAAATGAAAATTCATCTGTACACGGAGAGAAGAGATTTAGTCTATTATACTAAACACGTTTAGTCCAGATTCTACTAAACAGCGTAGTCAGAGGGACTACTATAGTTCTGTCACACAAAAAAATTTACCGACAGAATAAAAATGCACAAATCTGATTGGTTGTCCACAATTAACCAGATTGCGGACAACCAATCAGATTTCTACATTTCGTTTCTGTCGGTAAATTTTTTTCTATCGATAATCGTGTAAATTTTTTTACTAAACAGTATCGTTCATTTAACTGAATGTTTAGTCCGTCCAAAATGAACGATACTGTTCAGTAGATTTAACTGAGATAGTAGTAAGATCTACTACGCCCTTCTCTCCGTGTAAGAATAAAATGAAAATTCTATGCAATGAAATTCTACCCAATAAAAATTCTTTAAAATGCCCTATTATGTTTAATGAAATTTCGAGCAAATAAAAATTCTGACAAATAAAAATTCGTACAAATAAAAATTTGTCTCAAAAATAATTATGACAATTTCATAAAATGAAAATTCTAACTAATTATTTTGAACATAATCATACATTCCAAAAAATTATTTATTATGTTTTCTAAAAGGTTATGCCTATAGAGCTGGAGTATGTCGAAGTGACATTACAAATAAATACACTTCTTCTGGTATAATTGAAGACAGTAATGGATATGATGGTATTCTTGCTGCTGCTCATGAATTAGCTCATATGTAAGAAATAATAGATTATTTTTTTATACTTTTATTTTATAAATTTTGTTTTAAAAAAACATTTAAAAAAAATTTTTCTTGTTATTTTAGATTACTACTCAAAGTGACGCTATTAAATTTTAGATTAACATCTAATTAATTAATTTTATATTCCTAATTTTTTTTCCCCCCATAATTAGTACTTTTAAAATGAACATTACTAATAGGGAGACCTTTTTCTTTAGCCTAGGTGCACCACATGATGAGGAAGATTCGAAAAATTTTGCATACAATACTAAGCATTGTCTCAAAAATGAAAGTCACATTATGAGTTCCTATCGTTATAGTAATAATGAAAACAAAATTTTATTTTCTTCTTGTTCAAAAAAAATTATTGGAATTGTTTTAAGGTGTGTTAAAAATTTTGTATTTCGATAATTTTTTTTTAATAAGATTTTTTTAAAAATACCCGTGTGGAAAAAGCCACGATCTTGTCCTCAAGAGTTCGGGGCTCCCGGCGGGGGCCCATGAGGGCTGATCCATATGGCGAATCCATGAGGGGCAACGTAGGGGCCCGCATGGATCGCCCTCATGATCGATTAGCAAAATTTTCTAAGTCCAAAATTCAAATATTTTTTCGTCAACAAAAAATGAATGTTTCCAATGATTCAAAACAACGAAAAACGCATTTTTAATAAAAATATATTTACACTTTTTTTGAAAATTCACCTCAGATGATTCATGATAATAATCATAAAGCATATAATTAATTATATTTTATAAATTGCATTTGATTGGAAAATATAATTTAATATCTTAACTTTAACTAAATGATGTTAAGCACTTTTCTTTGTTAGGTATTTTTCAAGTTTAAATAGCATCAAGAAGTTAGCATTCGTTTTGAAGTAGCGTGCGTAGCGTAGTTGATAAAGCGTTAGACTCAAAGTCCGTAGGTCGTAGGTTCGATTCCCCCCATGCGTTAGATTTATTTATTTCTCAGGTTTGCGTTTAATCATTAATTCTATGTATGAATTAATTGAAAAATGAAAATATCCGTTAATAGTATGCATAAATTACATATTTTTTAATTTTTTAATTAATTAATTTATTATTACTTTTAATTATATCCGACAGTTAATTAATTAGAACGTTAATTAATAAATTCAATTTGAGTAAGAATTTAATTTAAAATTGAATAATTATTAAATAAATATGTTATTTATTCATAACTTAAGCTTATTTATTATTAATTAACTTTTATTATTAATATTATTGATTAAAAAACATTATGGCAAACTTGAGGGCAAACGTGAGGGCCCATAAGGGCGCCCGTAGGGGCACCCTCATGGATCGCCCATGCGGGCGATCCATAAGGGCCCCCGCTGGGGGCCCACATCACTTTTCCACACGGGTATAATTAATTTTTTGTTTATATATATTAATTTTGATAAAAGTTGAATTTAATAATTTATATTTAGTCTAGATTTTGCAAAATGCATTCGAAATAATCCGGCAGAATATAAAAATAATAAACCACTATCAAGAATATTACCTGGTCAAATAATGTCATTAGATGAACAATGCAAAAATCTTGGATATATAAGATGTAAAGATGTGAGTTTCTAAAATATTGCACTTACCACTTTTCTTATAATTGGTTTCATTTTGTTTTTTTTTTTTTTTTTTTGTAGGAAAGAACAACTTGTTTAGACTTATATTGTGTAGAGAAAGAAAATATGACACATACAATTTCGGTTTCATCATATACTCCTCCGGCAGAAGGATCTTCTTGTGCTGATGAAAAGGTAACTGAACCAATTACGGTGCATTCATAAAAAATAACTATTATTATTATTATATTTTATATAACTGTTGGAAAATGATTTTAAAAAAATTATTTTAATCTTTTTTTGATACAATTACTTATAAAGATGTACATTTAAACAATTATTAATTTAATTACTTGAGATCAAATTTTTTCCCTCGCCGTAATTGAAACATATTTAAGATTTTCATTGGCTCCAATTACGGTGGGCAAAGTATCTTTAAAATACACGTAATTTTGGTCACCATAATACACAGAAACTGATACAAACGTACCGTAATAGAAAATTACGGTATTAGTTTTAATTTCTCATATTTATTTAAATAATCGACTTTTATAAAGTTAAAATTTTTTTTTAATATCTAAATAACATAAACTTTTAATTTTATAAGTCTTAAATAATTGACTTCATACAATAGAAAAGTCGAATTTTCTATTTCAACGATGTTTTGACTCGAATCGCGCCGTAATTAGTGCATTTACCCTATTTATATGTATTATTATTTCTTTATTGATTGCTTAGAATTTTTATCTTGCAGCATTGCTTATCTGGAGATTGTGTAGATATTATTAACAGTTTGTTGTAAAAGAGAAATTCTCCAACAATATCTAAAGAGTCAACACTACAAAGAAGAGAAATAATTTAACCAAACAAAGAAAAACATTGAAATTAGATTAATATGTATATATTTTATTTGTAATGTAGTAAAAAGTAGGCCTAAAAAGAAATTGAAATTAAAAGTACATTCATTAAATATATAAATAACCAAAAATAGCAAAAACATTGTTTAAAATTTTTTATGAAACATAATTTCTAAATTACGTTTTGTATTATGCAATTCTTTTTGGAAATTAAAAAATTAAATTTAAATAATTATTAAATGTCCGATTGAATTTTGTGCGCGTTTATAAGTAGTGGATGAGTCCTGGGACGTAATCCCTAGTGTAGGTCTATTTGCACCTGGGTGGTAAGTGCCATTCGTCAGGTACTTGTACCCTTTAGAAATGGCTAAGGAGGTCGTTAGTGTCATGAATAACAATTTTTATTTTAAAAAATTTTATTTATTTATAAAATACACGGGCTAATAATGCCCATTCAAACAAAAATACTTTTAAAAAAATAATAAAATAGTAATGAATAGTAGCTTAGCATTTTTACTTAAGAAAAATTTTAGATACTTAATTTTTATTTAACATAATTTGTATTTTTCAAAAAAAATTTTTATCACATTTTTATTTATTTTCTAAAATCTATTTTGAATATCGCAACTAACTAAGTTCAGTTTCACCGTTTAGAACTAATAATAATAAAAATTATATTTTATTATGTGTAGAAAAAATAACTTTTTCCAAAGTTAATTTCTAAACCAAGAAGGCAATTTTATTCGCGAAAAAAAATCGGATGCTGTGTTTGGCACATGAACATTGTTGCTGTTTGTTTCCTTAATTGTACACTTTCCATTGTTGCATGTTTTAGTTGTACACTTTCCATTAACGCAATTCTGAAATACACAAAAAATAAATTAAATTATCGGTTTTAAATAAAATCGTCATTAACAGAGAGTCAAATATATAACAGCAGTTCATCCTTAATTAAATTTAAATGTTTTTTTTTAAATTAACAATGGAAATAAAATAATTACTGAATCTCATTACCGTGGAAGATGAAGAATCACTGGTAATTGGTGCCTCTGTACTGATTGATGCTTTTGGAGTGGTTTGCTTGTATACTATTGGATAATATGGTTTTGATGGCGCGTCTGTACTGATTGGTGCTTTTGTTGTGCTTTGCTTGTGTGGCAATTGAGAATTTGAATTTTGTCTCAAATTTTTAGGTTTCTGTACACACTCTCCTGATATGCAGTACTGAATAATAAAATTATGAACAATTAAATAATAATATACTGTTTCAAGTATTGAGAATCATCGAATTTGATTTACGAAATTTTACAGGAGAAATTAATACATAATTTTAATTATACCTTTCCTTCACCACATTCAGATCCCTCCGCAGGAGGCATCTTAGATGTAGTGTGAAAATAGCTCCCATTCAACTCCTCTTCGACACAATGTAGCTCTAAGCAAGTTGTTTCTTTCTAAAAATAAACAATAGTAATAACAAAATATAGCCATTGTTAACGATAGTACTAAGCGCTATATTAATGGTACTTACTTTAGAAATTCTTATGTATCCAAGATTTTTGCATTGTTGATCTAAAGTCATTACTTCTCCAGGTAACATTCTTGGTACTTGATTGTTATTTTCATATTCTGCAGGATTATTCTGAACGCATTTTGCAAAATCTTGACTAAAAAAAATTTAATTTGTTAATTATACACTATAGATAAGGTTCAAAAAACTAATGATGATGAAAATCTCAAAATATTCAATTATTTTTTCCCTATTTCCAGCACTAGCAATAATTAATGCCAAAAGAACAAAGAAGAGATGCAAATCTAAAGTTTTACTGAATCTTAGAATTAAACAATTAATATTCATGAAAACTGTAATTTATTTACCTCAGACATTAACATAAAATAGATTTTACTATATACAAGTGTAAATGTTCAAAATTTTCCACGTACCTTAAAACAGTTCGAATAACATTTTTCGAACATGGGGAAAATAAAATTCTGTTTTTATTATAACGATTATAACTCATGATGTAACCATCTTTCTTTGGACAATGCAATGCACCATTTTGATGAAACTTTGAATCTTCCTCGTCATGAGGTGCACCAAAGCTAATGAAAAAATTAAACATAATTTAATCTTTTAGTTTTAATATATTAAATTTTACAAATATAAGATACAAAAATTAAAAAAAAAATTATTTATAAACAATTATTAAATAAACTTTACCTTAGAGATAATTAATATTTTTTTTAAAAAAATATAAACTAAAAATAATATAAATGGTTAAGATATAATGAGATATTTAAAGATCGTCAGTGATTTGACTTCTATGTCGATGCAATTGTGAATATACACTGATCAGTTTCAAAAATAAAAATAGTTTTCGATACTTACATATGACCTAATTCATGAGCAGCAGAAACAATCCCTCCATAACCATTCATATCTTCAATTAGACTGGAACTAATGTATCCCTGTAAAGCACTATTCTCGCACACTCCACCTTCAAAGGCAAGACCTTCAAGAAAACATTATTGTAGTTTACATTTAACTTTACACCAAATGCAAAATCAAAATATGTGATTTAAACTTACCAGCTGTTGCATTGTTATTTTGTGATCTCATCATATCTCTTCCAGTGACCAACACAGCTACATCATAATCTATAGTTGGTTTAAAGATTGGTTCCTTACGTAAAAATAAAGCAAATTCGTTTAAACATCCGCTGCTATGTATACCTCCTTTGGGAAAATTTTGGATTGCTTTATTAATGAAGGGTAGTGGTTCCTTTAGTACAAAAATGTTTTCCATTAATTATATAGACAATTTTCAGTACATTACTGATTTAAATATTTTCTATCTCACTTAATTATATTGTATTCAAAATCAATGATTTTTGTATTTAAACCAAATACTATTTAATTCAGAGAAATATTAATTATTTATTAATGAGGAAATCTTTGTCAATGCGGACACTACTGCTTGTCCAAATTCTTTTCATTTTAAATTTATGTTTAATGGCTTAAATTTTAGTTAAAGGAATTTAACATGAAAAGAATTTGGTCGAGCAGGCCGTGTCAGCGTAGACAAAGAATACTACTAAAATAATTTTAACTACTTGTTTATGTAAAGTTCAATTTCATTGTGTAGAGTTTAGTAAAAAAAATTTTCTATTATAAATTAAATTTGTGAATAGTTTAACGGTGTGCAATTTAACTGTGTAGAATTTTATGATTAGGATTTTAACGTTGTATATTTAAATGTGTAATATTTGAACCGCCACCAATAATTGATTTAAATAAATATTATTTTTCAATATATACAACATACTTTAACTAATACTATTTTTCTAACATAGAGGCGAATTTGTGGATTTTCAAATTGTCTGTATATTAAATCAACTGCATTCCAGAAACTCAAAGTATATTGTACCGCTTTCATTACGTCTTGATTAAATTTTCTGCAATTAAAAATAAAAATTATTTATAATTGCCTAAAATTAAAGTGAAATAAAGTAGTTTATATATTTAATAAAATAGTAATTTTTTTAAAGCATAAACAAAATAAGTAGAATAAAATTATTTCAACTTACTTAAAAAGTACATCATCAACGAAAACCATAATTTCCGGATACACAATGCTTGGAGTTACTCCAACATCTCTTCGCGACACACTTTTAATTTTCATAATTTCATCATCGACCATCTTAGATGCATCAAGTTCTAAACAAATTAAACGTAAATTATGAATAATAATATGAATAGTAAAAATAATTATAAATAAATATTAGATTAACTTTATTAATTTTAATTTTTCTATAAAATTTATAGTTTCGGATAAGAATATCACGGAGAGATATTGGATTGTTCTGCAAACAATTTCACAGAAAATTATAAGTTATTAAAATAAGCTGCAACGCTAATTATTTTAATTCAATTTTGCCTATTTTAATACCAAAATGGATTGAAATAAGCAAAATTTGATTAAAATAATAAGCGTTGCAGCTTATTTTAATGCCTTTGAATTTTCTGTGTTTTGGATTATTGTCAGTAGATTTGTTTGATATTACAATTTGAAATGTTAATATTACAATTCGGATTGTTGTCAATACAAATGTATGTTGTTTTAACAACAATATGAATTTTTTGTTGTTAGTTTTGTTCAGCTGGAAAATCTGTATACAGTTGCAGAAGAAATCTCTTTGTCGATTGCTGATGGAACAATCTAGATTTGTTCAGCTGACTTGTTTATTGTTCCATGTTACGTGGTCATCTTGAATTCTCGCAAACTGGCGTGCAGATTGTCGCGTCGTTTGCTTCTGGCACATGTGCCACTTTTGCTTTTATTATTAGTTTAAAAAAAAATGACAAAGTGCTATTAAATAATGAATCCGGTTAAAGTGAAAAATCTATTGCAAGTGTAGTGAATGGATGAAGAGACTATTTCATCGTTTATCGGTAAGTTTCACTCGGTTACTAGTGAACATAACCTCAACTTAAAAATACAAAATCTATATTTAATAATATTTAACAACAAATTTCAAATCAAAATAATTTTTTGGTTTCAGGTCGAAGAATTTGATATCAGAAGCTGCATGTTCCACAGATTTTAATGCAAATGAAACTGGTGATATGACCTACGGAAATCTGCTATCGATTATTTTAGAAGGCAAAGAAACTGAACAAATTGTATTAGACGAATCAAAACAAATTGTATTGCCGATTAAACAATTTAGTTTTGTTATTTCAACTGTTCTGTAACAATTTTCTTTGTTCATGAAACAATTCTTTTTGTTCACCGAACAATCCCAATAGTTTTAATAACAATTTCATTACAACAATTTTTTTTCCTTAAAAACAACTAGAACTGCTGGTTCTATATTGACAATGACTTAATTTTTAGCAACTACAACAATTCTTTTTGCTCCGTGTTGCTTTTCTATCGAATAATGTTAAAACTGAAGATTTTACTTTAACCTGACTTGTAGGATTGAAAATTATTATTTACTATTACTTTAATTCCTTACATTTAAACACACCCAATTTTAGTTTATTCGCTTAATATTTAAGGAAAATACTTACTGGAATCTTTATTAAATGTTCGTTCGTAAATTATATGTTCATCAGTATTTATGAAACCTTCGGCATCACTTTCAAAGAATGAAGAATTTTTTTTCGACAAATCTCGACGTTTACGAAGATGATTGGGCAATGGTTGAATCACATAATTATTGTCGATGATTCCATGCTGTTAAAAATTGAAATATTATTAAGAATTTAAAGAATTGAAAGCATTTAATATGAAAAAACTTATCGCACTTTATAAAATAAATAAGTATATACTTACAAATTCAGATATTCCACGTTTATTCCTAAAGTGTGTAACAGATGAACCAGTTTTTTGATCTTGATAAAATTTATGGATGATGTTTTGGATAACCTATAATCATAATAGTTATTTTCATACCACATTTTAGACAATTTTTAAAGAATTTTGTTGTTGTTTTAGATATATATAGTTTTCAAATTGACTTACCCGTCAATATAGAAAAAACGAAACTCAAAATTGAAGAATATCTTTTTGCCGCATGTTTAAGAATATTTTGCATGTATTTTATTTTTAATGATAGAACGTCCAAGCGCCCGTCCTGCCGGAAGGCTTTTTTGGATGGCCCTATATATATGAGGGTGATAAAAAGGGAATTCAAAATTTTTTTCTGTCACCCTTTTTTATTAAAGTAGACGTAAAAACAAAAAAAATTCATGCGTTAGACTTTAAAAAAAAATAATATTAAACCATGTTTCGAAGCCTTCAAACTTTGAATGTTTGCAACAAGTCAAAAAAACAGTTTTTCATAAATTCACTGTAAAATCTACAAAAACCAATATTTTTTAGTCTAACTACTCTCATTTTCTTCTGAAGCCTTCAAAGAATAAAATGTGATAGTTTATTTTTAAAAAAATTCAGTTTAAATATTTTTTTGGATTCGTCAAAAAAAAAAAAAAAAAAAACCCCTATAAAAACGTCCTTTTTCTTTGAATTCCCTAGCCTAGGGATTTTAATTTACAAACTTTATGTTTACATGCGCTAAAAGCTTGTGTTTTTACCTTTCCAACGATATATTTTACTTTTGGATTATCTGAATCCATGTTAATTTTATAAAGCGATTTCGCAGGGACTTACATGAGTCTTTTTCATCCTGCCGGAAGGATGTTAGACGTTCTATCATTAAAATTCTTAAAATCAGAAAGACTTCTTAAATTAGGAACAATTTCTTACTTTGAGCATATACTTGTTAATTCAAGAATTATTTTTGACTTTAAGCATTCTATCCTATTTTAAGAGTTCTTTTTATTCTTACATTAAGAATAAAATGCTTGCGAAACATTTTTAAATTTAAACGCTAAGAAGATATTCCTAAATTTAGAATTACGCTTTTTTCTGTGAATTTGGGTAATTATACCTAAATTATAGGAACTCTTCAGAGGGAAGTTTTTTTACAAGGAACTTCACATAATATTTGACAAATTTTCTTCTTTTAATTCTGAATTTTTATGACGTTTTCAGTAAAGAAAAGCAATTTTGTAGGTATAATTACCTCGGTTAATGGTTCACCAGAAATATTTATATTTTTAAATTACATTTTTTTAAATTAGTACTTCTTTCTTTCCATAAATTTATGAATTTAAAACATCGTAAGTGGAAAATTTAATGTATATCTTTGTTAATACATACATTTCGTATTTCTACGTAATCCACAGATCTACCCTGATAATTATTAGTGGCAGTATAAACTTTCGTTTCTGTGCCTGCAAGTATACTATCAGTAGGATTTAAATAATAATAATCATCATCTTTTTCTTCTCTTTTAATTCGAAGTATTAATTTGTCGTTGGATATTTTATGACCAATTGAAAGCACCTCATAGTCAGATACTAGAAATAGAATTTAAATTTTAAATCATTAATTAAAATTAAATTTTAACAATTTAATACACCGAAAGTAGTATTTCAAATTCTCGAAAAGAAATAATTAGGTGGTTAGTTTTATAAGTTAAATAATTTTTCCAATTAATTTTAATTTATACTCATTATCTATTGAATATCGCAGTGCAAAAGTTTTATTGTATTATAAAATTAAAATATATTATATAGTCTAAAATAATTACCATCATCATCGATTAATAGACTATCGTCGACTTTGAGCGATTGAGTGAAGGGCACAAAAAGAGTGCAAAATAAAATTGCGAAGAAATACATCATCAGATATTTTAGGATTTTCTAAATCCTTCCAAGAATGAAAAATCTGTTCTTTTTAAGTTCCCAGGATATTCTGAATATTTATATAATGATAGATTGCATATAGTACGTATATAAAAATTTCTCATAAAGAATTAATATCTTCAAATATAAAATGAAAATGTTTGATAAAAATAAGTTATTGTTTATCATTAGGTCATTACATGTTTAAATCTTTAGTTTAGATTTTTTAAAATTATGAACAATCAGAATTAAAGTAAAAGATTAAAACACATCTTACCCTTCTTCAAAAGAAGTATTAAAATTTAGTAGAAAATAATTTGAATATAGTTGCATTGAAGATGTCCGTATATATACCCAAAAAATACTGTTTTTTATTACTTCCTACTGATAACAATATTTTCATAAGTAAATATAATTTATTTAAATTAATATTGACTTTTCCATAATTCTATTAGATATTATAAGGAAATTGAACTATTAATTTAAATAGAATTTAACATAATTATGATACCGTACATATAAGTTTTGTTTATTTTCAATGCTTCCTATTTACAATAAGATATATATGTGCTTTCAAAAAAATGAATAATTTAATTTAATATTCATATTTTTGTGTTATTAAAATGTAACACAATTGAATTATGCACGTCATCACTGAAGATTGTACATAAACTTATCAGTATATTTAATTTTCATATTTATAAGTAGGTCATTAATTAATTTAAAATATCACATCCAATATGGCAGCCATTTTTAAAAAATTATTTTTATTATTTTTATTATTATTATTAATCCTTTGAAACTTGTTACTAAGGGGTTACTCAAAATCTCCGAGTAATGAGTTTCAAGTGACTCTCTAGAACTTTGAAAAAAATCAGCCATATTGGATCTGCCATTTTGAATTTTAAAAAACCGATATCGGTTTCGTAATCAGCAACAACGAAAAACCCATACTGATAAAAAAAAAAAATTTTCAAAAATCGTTGAGTCAAAAAAAAAAAGATATGAGTACTCAAAAATTGTAGTTTTCGTCGGTTGACGGGAGAAAGATGACAATTCAGGTAAGTTTTGAAAAACATGCCATTTCAGCAGAAATGTGAAAAACATGACATTTCAAGTGTTAAATTATTTTGTGCATTTTAGACGAAAAGAAATAAAATAAAAAAACAAAAAGTATTATAACTTATATTCTGATGTCCCTTATTGAATGTTCAAGATTAATTTTACAGAATAATTACTAACATTAATCGCAGTGATGTCACAGTACTTTTAATTTGAAATAACCAAAAAGTTTGACGCATCTGAAAAGGCATGTTTTTCAAATCTTTGCTGAAATGGCATGTTGTTCAAAACTTACCTGAATTGTCATCTTTCTCCCCTCAACCGACGTTTTGACAATTTTTTTTCGAATCGCTCATTACGAATGAAGATGTTGAAATATAATTAATCAATTATTCAATTTTTACATTACTTTTTTTTAAATACGTTATATAATTAATTATTAATTATACAGAAATTAGTTTATTAATAATAAATATATATATATATATATACTAGGGGGCTATGCCCCCTGCGCGCTTCGCGCGCCAACCCCCATTCCCCCTCCTCTCTTCCGCTCCCCTACCCTAAATTTAAAGGTTAAGATCGTTTCAAGACTCTGAATATAGCCTCAAGTCCCCCCCCCTTCTCTTCTACCCCCCTTCTCTTGACTTGCGGCTATATTCAGAGTCTTGGAACAGCGGCGGCGGCGGCGGCGGCGTTGGCGGCGATATCTTTTTGTAATATAGGTAGATTATATTAATTTCGAATTATTAGAAGAACGAACAATTTGTTGCAACAACAAACCAGATTTGTTAGTTTATATATTTGTATAATAAGGGAATTTTTTTTCGTGGAATTTTTTTAGATGCTCCGTTTGTTACATGACCGTTGTTATTTTCTGCTTCCTTAATTGTACATTTTCCATTAACGCAATTCTGAAATAGACAAAAATGAATTCTTTTTTATGTTTCAATTTTTAGCTCGTTTTTAATATTATTTCTAAATTTACTAAATAATATAATTTGCATATATGTAAAGAAAATACTTACTGGAAGCATTATTAAACAAATCTCGACGTTTACGAAGATAATGGGGCAATGGTTGAATCACATAATTATTGTCGATGATTCCATGCTGTTAAAAATTAAAATTTTATTTAGAATTTAAAAAATTAAAATCATTTAATATGAAAAAAATTTATCGCACTATATAAAATAAATAAGTATATACTTACAAATTCAGATATTCCACGTTTATTCTTAAACTGTGTTACAGATGAACCAGTTTTTTGATTTTGATGAAATGTATTGTCGATCTTTTCGCATAACCTATAATCATAAAAGTTATTTTCATACCAAATTTTATATATTTTTTAATGAAATTTGTTCCCCCACAGCACCAAAACTCTCCTAAAAATTTCCTAAAGATTTATTTGAAATAGTATTGAATGAAATAATTTTCATAATTGATTCAAATTACTATTTATTTGATACGATAAAATGAAATACTTATATCTAATAAATATTTATTGGAATGAAATAATTTCCATAATTGATTGAAATAATTATTTATTAGCATGAAATATTACATTTATTTAATTTTGGACCAAATACTTTTTATTTGATCAAAATAAATTTTTTTTTACGATCGAAGAAAAAAATATTTTTTTTTTTTTTTGTTTTCGATAAAAATTATTATGGACCCTAGATTTTACACAATGTACTCAATCTGGGTGTGTGTGATATATACTTTATTATATATTTTTAAAAAATCTTAAAATGGGTTTTAAAAATATTTTTTTTAAATAAATTTTTTTGTGTTCACCTATTGATATGTTATATTGAGAAAAAATTAACATTTGAATTAATAAAAACCTATACTACAATAATGATGAAATTATAAAATTTAAAATTTAACAACAGTAGTCCAAACACTTGTGTAAAGAAAAAAAGTTAATTCGTGAAGAATTAAATAAATATAACATTCTGACGATCGTCTTTAAATACGACAGTCAGTAATATATATACTGAAAACAAAATCTGTCTTAATACACTATTAAGTTGTACAATATTTTTGTATTTAATAAATTTCAGTTAAAAATAAAATAATTTTATTATCTAAAAATGAAAAAAAGTAAGTAAATTTTTCCAAATAGAAATATAAAAAAAAGATAATTAAATTAAAATTTTTTTTTCAATTTTCATAAATAAGGAATTGCGAACTTTTTAAAAGTATTTTATTATTTTAACAAATTATTAATTAAAGAAAAATTAATATTAATTTTATAAATAATTTGTAAATATATTATATTTATTAATTTTTCAAAAATTTTTTCTACAAGTTCTGATTTTAAATATATATGTCTCTTTTTTTTAGATTTATTTTCGTGTCTTCTAATAGCTATCAATATGTATATTGTATTGGCTCGCGATCGAGTTATATGGCCCAAATTTAAGAATGATAATTCAAATTTATTTAAATTGGAAAATTCTGAGCAAGAGGACAATCTTGATAAATTAATTTTCAAAATATTTCATGAATCAAATGATCGCGATCAAGTTATCTGGCCCAAATTTAATAATCATAATTCTAAACAAGAGGACAATCTTGAAAAATCAAAAGATCCACAGGATTTACTTAATGCTGAAACAAATTTTACTGATGGATTGCAAATATTCGCTGACAACTTGTACAAGGTTATTTTAAAATAATTTGTTTTTTTTGTTTTTTTTTTTTTTGTTAATATCCGCTATAGAATTGTGACTATAAAATAATAACAAAAAAGAATTTATAGTAAATTGTAGTTATTTAATATTTTTCTATTAAATTTTCTAGACAGCGTCAAAAAATAAAGTAGACAACGTTTTATTATCTCCTTTGAGTATAAATGTAGCATTAGGTATGATTGCCTCTGGAGCTGAAGGGAATACTAAAACTGAAATACTCAAAACTCTTCATTTTAGAGAAAATGAGCAACTAGTGAAAATCAGTTATAAAAATCTTATCGATAATTTAATGGTAAGAATAATATCAATAGTAAAAAATATTTCCACTTTCATTCCATTGATTAAAATATTAGTATTTTCACTCTTCTTTTCATTTCCACTTTCAGTGATATTAATTTTCTAATTTTTTTAATCTAATTTTCATCACGCATGATTATGTTTTAAAAATCATTATTTAGAATTTTCATTTTATGGAATTTCATTTGTAATAATTATTTTTGAGCTGAATTTTTATTTGTTTGAATTAGTATTTTGCAGAATTTTCATCAAAACAATTTTCTATATTACAGAATTTTTATATAACCGAAAATTCACTTCACACAATTTTTATTTGTTCGGACTTTTTATTTAACACAATATAGGCATTTTAAAGAAATTTTTTTGTGTAAAAATTCATTGCATAGAATTTTTATTTTATATTCTTTCAGATGAATTTTCATTTGGTCGATTTATTATTTGATATAATTTTCATATAACCGATTTTTCATAATACAGAATTTTTAATTAACCAAAAAAATCATTTAACAAAATTTCTAATTGATAGAATTTTCATTTGTCCAAAATTGCAAATGGCCAAGCAAACAATCGATTTTAGCGCAATTTTTAAAATCAACCAATAAAAAATTATCCATAAAATTGTGATTGGTTGATTTTAAAAATCGCGCCAAAATCGATTGTTTGTTCGGCCATTTGCAATTTCGGACAAATAAAAATTCCATCAATTAGAAATTCTGTTAAATGATTTTTCGGTTAATTAAAAACTTTTGCAGTATGAAAGAATATAAAATGAAAATTCTATGCAATGAAATTCTACCCAATAAAAATTCTTTAAAATGCCAACTATGTTAAATGAAAATTTGAGCAAATAAAAATTCGAATAAATAAAAATTTTATCTCAAAAATAATTATGACAAATGAAATTCCATAAAATGAAAATAGTAAAATTGAAAATAAAAATGAGAGTAAAGATTAAAATCAATGAAAGTGAAAATGAAATTAAATAATTAATCTACTGGAATAAATATATAAAAATAAAAAATCCATTCCCTTCTTCAGAATGTCACAGGCTTAACACTTCAAATTTTAAACAAAGTGTTCATCAATGATAAATTACAAGTAAAGTCAGAATTTAAAGATGTCTTATTAAACAATTTTCACGCAGAGGAGGAACAATTAAATTTTATTGATTCCGAAACAGCGGCAAAATCTATTAATACATGGGTTTCAAGAGGAACAAATGATAAAATCAAAAATATTGTTAAACCTGGTTCGTGTATTTGAAACTTTTAAAAATGAAATTATTTTTTTTATAAACTTTATTGTAATTAATATTATTGTGTTACATTCAATAATTATTATTGAAAAATATTATATTGGACTTGGTTTTTATTTTCTCTTATATATTTTCTTTTTCTTTTAGATGATTTGAGTGAAGATACAGCCATGATTATCACCAATGTTGTTTATTTTAAAGGCGAATGGAAAAATAAATTTTCTAAAGTTGATAGACAAATTTTTTATACTAATAGCAATAAAGAAACTTTAGTTCCAATAATGTATCAATACGCTGATTTAGAATTTGGATATGCTTCTGATATAAATGCTACATTCATAGAATTACCATACAAGGTAAGAAGTGGACGCAGTTTTTTTTTCTTTACCGAAAAAAATATTCTGAAATTTAGAATAGGTATATACTTGGCATTTCCCAGATAGCACGGAAACTTGCAGCAAGCTTGCGGCAAGTTCACCGCGCAAGCTTGCTGCAAGCTTGTCTTAGCTAGCGGAATGTCCCACCCAGGGCAAGCTTGCCGTGAAAGCTTGCTGTAAGCTTTCCAGGAAAGGTTGCTGCAATCTTGCCATGAAATATTACTACAAGATTGCTGCGAGCATACTAAGAATGATTGCGGCAAGCTTGCCGTGAAAGATTGCTGTAAGCTTGCTACGTAAAGTTGCAGGAGAATTTCAACAAGCTTCTGGAAAGGTTGCTGCAAGCTTGCTGCAATTTTAAAAAAATACATTTTAAATTTTAAAAAAATTTATTTGTTTTTTTTTTTAAATTTGAAAATCCTTGTAACGTTTATTATTATTAATTATGTCCTGTTTATTTTTATTTGGAAACTTAACGAGAAAATTTTCGAAACAAATTTGAGGGGACTGGGAATTGAACCCGGGTTCGACAGACACTAACCAAAGACCCTAACCAAAAACCTACTCGACCAACTATCAGAGAATAAAAAAATCTTGCTCTTAGGTCCAATTTCACCAAATCAGGTTAAAAGTTAATCAGCGATTAAATCCCTAACCGACCAATCATGAGTGATTAAATTGTCTTTAATCGCTGATTAACTTTTAACCGGAGTTGGTGAAACTGGCCCTTAACCTTCGTTTTTCAACTGTTTTTCAACTCATAAAAACAGTATTAGTCAAATACGGTGTTAGGCTGTAGTTTTATATATGAATTTTCCATTTTCACATAGAAAAAGAACAATTTTTATTTTCTATTAAAAAAAGGCTGTCGCAAATTTGTCAATAATTACGTACATTTTCATGATTGTTTACATTTGACGAGAATATTATATTCTAAGATTAAGAATAAAATGCAAGGAAAATATTCTTAGACGCCAAGAATATATTGTTAAATTTAGACTTTCGTTTTTTCTCTGTAGAGAATTATTGTATAGATGCGATAACTGCGGTTTTTTTCTTATAATTAAAAATTGACACATCTCTTTTACAGAATGAGAATCTTAAAATGCTTATTGTACTTCCTAATTTAATTGACGGTCTTGAACAAGTTGAAAAAAGTTTAGAGACAATGAACCTTAAAACTCTGAGACAAAAACGCTATTTATCTAAAGTTGATTTATATTTGCCCAAATTTCGTGTTGAAAATACAATTGATTTGAATGAAGTTTTACAAGAGGTTGGTAAAAAAAAATATAGTTTATGTTTATGATATATTTTTGATTATTTAAAACTTTATTTTTATAAATGTAAAATATGAAACTAAATATTTATTTAAAATAATAGATGGGTATGAAAGAAATGTTCTCGCCTTTCGCAAACTTTAGCGGAATTTCAGAAGGAAATCTTCAAGTGAGTAAAATTAAGCAAAAAACTTTCATTGAAGTCAATGAAAATGGAGCTGAAGCTGCTGCAGTTTCTGGTAAATTTTTTATTATTGTCATATATTATATTTACATATTTATAAATAAATTGATTTTGTGATTTTTTTTTCGTAGAAATTGAAATCGGTTGGAAAATAGGTGGTGAAGATAATCCTAAATTGTTTGTTGTTGATCATCCGTTTCATTATAAAATTATAAGAACAATCGGTGAAAATGATGGTATTGTATTGTTTGCTGGAAACTGTAAATATATAGAATAATTTACAATTTCTTTTATTTAAAAAAACACGTCTCTCTTTATATTTGTTTAAATATAATAAATTTTTTTTAGAAATTATGTTTTTAAAAAAAATAATTAATCATTTGTGTTTTTAAAAAATGTATATTAAGAATATGTATAATATATTGAATAGAATAAATCAATTATACGATATTTATGATTCATTATTCTTTTACTATCAATATGTAAATCTAAATGTATTTCTCATTTTTTGATGAAACAATTTAAATATATTTTCAAAAAAAAAAATAATTTCGTAATAAACAAATATCTCACTGGAAGTTCTCACAATTCGAAAATTCTCTATAATATAGGGACTTTTTGTCGACAAAGCAAGTAACTTAACCTAAAATCTGACAGGTCTCAATTTACAATGGGTGTTTTCGGCATTCACTCAGAGTTAACTCTAGAGTTAACAGTGGTGCTCAATGATATTATCTTTGAAAATTTATTTACCTAAATAAAATGATTTGATTTTCTATTTTCATCACCCTGAGTTTGAAGTTAGTTGTCCTTGCTTGCTTACTTTTTTTAATTTATACGTATTTTTTGTTTTTCATTTAAAAATGGAACATATTTTTGCTACCCATAAACGTGTTATTTTTTTAAAGTTTATAGTTTTCAAATTTTTCATTATTTCCCTAACTTTAATTAATCTGAATTGTTTAAGGAACTAGATTATTTATTTTAATTAAAGTTGTTTTTTATAAATAAAAAGTTAAAATAATTTTTAATAAAAATAAATTATTATGTTTCAATTTACACTTTTCAAAACAAACAATCCGTTCACATATTTTGTCGGTCATTAAAGGTTAGGACTGACCCTTTTTCTTTACTCTCGCAAGAAAACAGAGTTAACTCTGGGTCATCTTGTAATAAATTTTTGGGGACTTTTATGAAATCTAGAAACAAAAAATTTTATTTTAACATTGCATTACTAGAATAAAAGGCCCGTTTCACATGTTGTTACAATTGCAAACCCTGCGCCAATCAAAATGAATAGTCTATGCCAAATTGCCAATCAACAACGTTCACAACCAACAGACAAACTGAAAATCAAAATTTACATTTGAGCACCACTGCTAACTCTAGAGCAAGAAGACTAGAGACAGGAGAGTAAAGTAGAGTAGTGGGGGTAAGACAAATCTGGTAGGTATATGAGGGCGACCCTAGAAGGCGTCAAGTATATATTTTTTGATTCTGCGCATAATATATATATATGTATGTATGACGTATATTTCTTACATGTGATTTGTTTTTGTTATGGCCGTCAAGTCAAAAAAGCCTGTGTTAGTTTACAAAATTACCAATTTTTAAATGTTAAGTTAATTTATATTTGATCAATAATGAGTGGAAAGTGTTGTGTAACTAATTGCTGTGATAATGATGAAGATAAAGAAAATCATCGAACATTATTTCCCTTTCCGAAGGACGAGGTATGTCATATTGGACTTGTATTAGTTTATATTATTTATGTTTTTATTATAGTAATAATGTCTAATAATAATTATTAAAAAATGAAAATGTTAAATAAAAATATTCAAAAGTTTTAATTTACTGTTTATTTATTTATTATAACCATTTTTTGTTGTAGAAGTCTATAAAAGAATGGTTAAATGCTATTGGACATAACCTGAAAAAATACCGGCTTGATGTAAAGCAATTATATATTTGCAACCATCATTTTAACGAAGATTGCTTTTATTCAAATGGTTTTTTTATTCACTGGTTCTTGTAAAAGACAATTAAAAAGATTAAATTTTTTTTCTTTACGATAAATATAATCTATTTACTTTTTCGTCTTTGAGCAACAGCTGATCAGCTGTGCATTCACGCGAATTTTACTACGCCCATGACTATGCCCAATGCAAATATCTTTGACTATACACATTTTCTCGGTAAATGTGTGTGAAAGATGCGCAGAATCGAAAAGAGTAGTTGACGCAATCAAGGGTCGCCCTCGTATACCTACCACTGTTGACTCAATGCTCTGCATGAGAAAACGGTCGAGTTTACTCTCCTGTCTCTAGTCTTCTTGCTCTAGAGTTAACTCTGAGTGAATGCCGAAAACACCCAATGAGCGTGTTCGCGGGAGTCACTGACAGTTACTGACAGTAAAAATTACCCAATCAGAATATAGATTCTGTTGGATCAGCCCAATAACAGTTCAGTTGCTGATCCTGTACAGGAAATTGTACAAGATCTTGTACAGGGATTTTCAGTAGGGCCAAAATTGTACCGCCACACACTAAAACCATAGTGGCGCTGCTGTCACTTACCTTATTCCACTGCAGTCCAAAAGGTCTCTCAGTGTATTGTATAAAGTCAATTTAAGATTTATTACACTAAAAGGTTATGTTATTTTGATATTTAAAAAATGTTAAACTTTATAAAAATCGATTATTTAAACAAATATGAGAAATGAAAACTAATAACGTAATTTTCTATTACAGCGCATTTGTATCAGTTTCGGTGACCAAAATTAAGTGTATTTTAAAAATATGTACTTTCCCCACCGTAATTGGAGCCAATGGAAGTAGTTAAGCAAGGCAGGTGCGGGACCACTTACCGACCGAGGTCGGTAATGTAGGAATCTACTTTACCGACCGAGTTAGTTCCGGCTGTCACCGCTAGATGGCGCCACCGGCCAATTCAAACCCCCTTGGTGGGAAATTTGAATTTTCAAAGTGGCTTGGCATTCTACTTTACCGACCGAGTTACTTTTGGCTGCCACCGCTAGATGGCGCCACTTTCGATTACCGACCAAGTCAAACCCCCTTGGCGGGAAATTTGAATTTTTAAAGTAGATTGGTGTTCTACTTTACCGACCGAGTTACTTTTGGCTGCCACCGCTAGATGGCGCCACTTTTGATTACCGACCAATTCAAACCCCCTTGGCGGTAAATTTAAATTTTTGAAATATTATTTTCAAGTGGCTTGGTGTTCTGCATTACCAACCGAGTTAGTTCCAGCTGCCACCGCAAGATGGCGCCATTTTATTTTACCTATTTTAAAGTTAATTTAAAGTTTAAAATTTTAATGTATATAATTGTATCTAAACCTGTATGGAAAAAAACATCGAGAGGGATCCCCATTGCTGGTTGCGTCTATGCCGCTGCCAGCTCCGTGTTCATATGCTGAGTTTCATTTCTCCCCGCATCAATGTGAACTTAGCCGGGGACTCTCTCCCATGCCTACAGCGGAGCGCTCAGCGGTGGGCCCGCCTTATTGCGCGCGCCAGCTAGGTGGTGGGGCGCGTCATAGTGGGGAGCGCCGTAGTGGGGACCGCCATGGTGGGGCGTAGTGTATAAAGCACGCCGCTCAGGCCACCAGCATCATTCTTTTCTTTCAGGTGCAGCAGAATAGTTATAGAGTTTTCAGAATTTCAGAGTTTTTTCTTATTTCAGTTAGCGCGGTATCAGTTCTACCAAATTTAGTTCTATACGGGGCAACTCGATACGTTAAACTTAGCACATTTCAACTCTACACAGTGAGATTAAATTTTTTTAATGTTTATTTCGATACAGTTTAAATGGATATGGCTAAATTGTGCACCGTTCAACTCTACACAAGTGAATTTCAAAAATAATAAAACGTTCAACTCTATACAGTTTAATTGTACACAGATGCTTTTGATAGATAAAAATTTTTTATATTTGTTCAATTGAATACGGTTCAGTTCTACACAAGCATTTTTTTAAATTATGAGTGTTTAGTTGTGCACAGTTTAATTAAATACTGCTTATTTGTGCACAGTTCAACTCTACATAAGTTAAATTTAAAAATAATAAAATGTTCAACTCAATACAGTTTAATTTTACACAGATAATTTCGATACAAACAAATTTTTTATATTTGCTTAATTGAATACGGTTCAGTTCTACACAAGCATTTTTTAAAATAATGAGTGTTCAGTTGTGCACAGTTTATTTAAATACGTTTTATTTTTTTTAAATGCTTGTATAGAACTGAACCGTATTCAATTGAACAAATATAAAAATTGTTTATGTATCGAAATTATCTGTTTAAAATTAAACTGTATAGAGTTGAACGTATTATTATTTTTAAAATTAACTTGTCTAGAGTTGAACTGTGCAAAAATTAACCGTATTTAAATAAACTGTGCACAACTGAACACTCATTATTTTAAAAACTGCTTGTGTAGAACTGAACCGTATTCAATTAAGCAAATATAAAAAATTTGTTTATCTGTGTAAAATTAAACTGTATAGAGTTGAATATTTTATTATTTTTAAATTTAACTTATGTAGAGTTGAACTGTGCACAAATTAGCAGTATTTAATTAAACTGTGCACAACTAAACACTCATAATTTAAAAAAATGCTTGTGTAGAACTGAACTGTATTCAATTGAACAAATATAAAAATTGTTTATGTATCGAAATTATCTGTTTAAAATTAAACTGTATAGAGTTGAACGTTTTAATATTTTTAAAATTAACTCGTGTAGAATTGAACTGTGCACAAATTAGCAGTATTTAATTAAACTGTGCACAACTAAACACTCATCATTTTAAAAAATGTTTGCGCAGAACTGAACCGTATTCAATTAAACAAATATAAAAAAATTTTATCTATCAAAAGCATCTGTGTACAATTAAACTGTATAGAGTTGAACGTTTTATTATTTTTGAAATTCACTTGTGTAGAGTTGAACGGTGCACAATTTAGCCATATCCATTTAAACTGTATCGAAATAAACATTAAAAAAATTTAATCTCACTGTGTAGAGTTGAAATGTGCTAAGTTTAACGTATCGAGTTGCCCCGTATAGAACTAAATTTGGTAGAACTGATACCGCGCCATTTCAGTTATTTCTTTTTGTTTTACTATTTTGTATTTGATTTAAGGTGGTGGATATTTATTTTCAGGGTTTTTTAGTTTTTATTTCTTTTTGTTCTATTATTTTTTGTATTTGATTTATGGTGGTGGATGTTTAATTTCAGGGTTTTTTTATTTTTAGTTCTTTTTCATTTGTATATAATTTAAGGTGGTGGTTTTTTATTTTCTGTATCTTTCAATTACAGAATTTTCTTAGGTTTTAAGTTTTTTTTTCATTTTCTTTTCAGGTTTTTTACTTTATTTTCTTTTTCATTTTATTTTCAGGTTTTTTCAGGTGTTTTCTTTTAGAGA